ATATATATATCTCCAACTGAGATTGAGATGGTTTCTCACTATATTGCCAGGATGGCTTCAAACTGCAATGCTTCTGCCTTAGCCTTTTCAGTAGCTGAGATTACAGGTGTGTTTCATTGTGCCTACCTTGGAAATTTTTAGAGTGGGCTGTTAATATGAGATAATACAGAAAACCAGCAACTGCTTTTTTTATGGAACCATTGCCACACTAAACTGAAAGGAGTCATAAATTTGGAGTAAGATGATAGAGATTTAGTTCTGATATTTGTTAAGAGAATCAAAAGTTTTATTCTTATTTTATTTTATTGGCGGAACCAGGGATTGAACTCAGATATTTGCGTTTGCCAGTCAAGCACTTGTCCTACTGAGCCATCTCTCCGGCCCCAAGAGAATCAAGGTTTTAATACGCATATCAACTTTTTTCTTGACTTTGTTTTCCTTTAAAATGAGTGTGATGATACCTGATTTGCTAATTTATAAAATAGTTACAATTTCTATGTATATATATGTATATGAGATTGAGAAACCCTTTGTGAACTATTGGGCAGCATGTAAATTTACCGATGGCGTGACATGTCCAGTTGAGTGAACGTTTGATAAGTTATTTATTTATTTTTTTTAATATTTATTTATTACATTTATTTATTGGGTGTGTGTGTGGCCAGCTCAGCCCACCAGGGGGCGGGTCTGGCTGGCATGTGGTGCTGGGGATCGAACCGCGGTCCCTGTGCTTTGCCAAGCTTGTTTCAAGTAGGTGCTTTAGACCACTGAGCCATCTCTCCAGCCCGATAAGTTATTTTTTTATTGGCTCTCTTAGATGAATCTGGTGAAATACATGACAAAAGATGACTTTGATTTTTGATACAAGTAAACATACTTGTAATCTAAAGTAGATCTCAGAATACTTAACAGACATAATTTGAAATATTTTGAACTGGAGAACCAGGTTAACTTCCATATTGGGTTTTCTTGTTATAGATGGGGTCAACTTTATACTTAGAACATAAATATCGCAAAACTGTTCATGCCAGCCTGATGTGATACATAATGTGTGATGATTGGTCTCCATAAGATTTGAGTGTCTTTTTTGAAACATATACATATATTTGCTTTTTCTTTCCCTGCAGTATTGAACATTGAACCCAGGGCCTTTGCGTTGAGCTATATCTCAGTCCCTTTAAAACTTTTTAAATTGAGATAGAATCAGCAACTTCCTTGAACTTGAGACCCTCTTGCTTCAGCCTCCCACAGTGATGAGATTACAGCCATGTGCTAGTGGTACTACACCCTGCTTGGAAAGGTCACTTATAGATCACTCTTAGTTGGTTTTCTTCAGTGGGAATTTCCTTTTCCTATTTTTTTTTTTTTTCCCCCAGAACCGGGGATTGAACTGAGGCATTTGCACTTGCAAGGGAAGCGCTTATTCCACTGAGCCATATCCCGGGCCCCTTCCTTTCCATATTTAGTGCCCTATTTATTTAGGTTTTTTGTTTGTTTGTTTGGTTGGTTGGTTTTGCGGAACCGGGGATTGAACTCAGACCCTTGCACTTACCAAGGAAGCACTTATTGTACTGAGCCATCTCCCTGGCCCCAATTTAGGGTTTTTTGAGACGGAGTCTTGCATGTAGTTCATATTGGCCTTATTTCAATATGAACTACAGGCTGACCTGGAAGTTGCAGTGATTCTCTTGCCCGAGTGCTGATATTACAAGCACACACCACCTGGCAGGTGCCCTTTCTTTAAAGGATTTTTTTTTTTTTTTTGGACTGGCTCAGGCTGCCTTAAGGGCAGGTCTGGTAAGGCATGTGGAGCTGAGAATGACTTCCGTATCCTGCCTTTGCATAAGCAGGCACTTAAACAACTGAGCTAATTGGCAAGGCTCCCTCCTTTTAAAAAGGGCAGTGGTTACTTCAGTTTACAAATAATCTATAATTACGCTTTTAAAATTTATTTTATTTTATCACTATTTTTTGAGACAGGGTCTTGCTGTATAGTTCAGGCAGGTCCTGAACTTA